ATATATATATATATATATATATATATATCGACTACATGGGAATGATATAACGAACTACATCGTTCAGTCATTGTGCCTTTCCGTGCTTAGCACTACACAACAAGAATAAAGCAAATCGTTTTCAAACGGAATATCTGAATAATAAATCCCGTCTACAAATGTGGTTGGTCAAATGAGAAAATGAAACCAATGGAATTCTCCTTATACACCTCAATGAAAGTAAGAACATGGTTTTTGGTGCACGAAAAGATGAAGCGGTTTACAAACAGACTTACTTCAACTACCAGTGCTAGGGTGGGTGGATTGGCGATGCTGTCCCGTTGAATGACGAACTTCTCGGGCACACGCGATCTAGATTCCGAGCCGAGGATCTGCTCACGTGGAATCCAACCGTTCACATTCATCAAATCCAACCAGTGTCCGACTGTCTCCATAGCTAACTCCGGATCCCAACGAGCTAGTATCAGACCGTGGAATCCTTCATCCCACAAGAAACCACGTGGAAACATCGAGCGCGATGGGGTGGCTGTGAACAGACCAGCAGGCCAATTGTTCACCGGTTCCGGACCGGAATGCGAGGACTGAACCAACGAGCTCCCGTAGAAATAGCCCAAGCCACCCAACAGATTGCTTACAGCAACCTTGGAAAGGTTAACCTGGAAGAAGGATTGAATCGAGAATTAGGTTCTCTGACCTTGACTTAATCTATTAGTATAATAACGGATAACTAAGCGAAAGAACATGAAACCGACCTGTGAGTTGTCAGTTTACAGAGTTCTATTTAATGAAAAGTAAACTTGTGAAGGACAGAATGGTGATTGCACTTCCGTTCCACAGTTCCGATCTTACGCTGATTTTTGTTCAAATGAGTAAGAGTGTAATAAGCGCATCAACCATGAAGAACAACGATTCGCCGTGTTTTGACAGGTTGATTTCAACATTTGCATAATTCTATTGGTGAAAAACAAGAGAGTGCTACTCGGAAGTTTTCTAAATCACGCATCTCATCCAGTGCGGTGAACTTTGGCTTTTGGTACACGCTGCAGTTCGCATCGTTTGGCATGCGATGCTCGCCGAGAGATAAATACCGATCGGTTAATAGGTGAATGCAGGATGCGACAGGGAGGTATTATAAAAGATTGAAATGGTGAGGGTCGGTTTATATTGATGTGGTTACATCCCCCGAGAGGGAACCAAAAAATATGGCTATGGATCGAAACCGATGAAGCTGGAACATTTATTTCGTCTCATTACCCTAAGTAACTGTGTTAATTAGTATGCCCAAATACTTCTATTTTACCTCGAAATGGTTTGATTAAAGGCCAATAAAAACATTAAATTCAAGTGTTGGACTAAAGATGGCGAAATTGGGGCGGAATAGCTGTCAATCATTTTGAGCAGTTACTGACTGTAGCACAAAATACCCGGCGAAAAAGCTGAACAGAAGTAAAAACCCCTGGTCCAAAAAGGGCTTGTCTATCTCATTTGAGCAAAAATTGATAGCGGGAGTTCAATGAAGCTCTTAAATGATTCAAAACTATACGCATATGCCTTAGGCATTTATCTCTCAGCCAGCACGCTTTTAATGTTTCTACTTTTGTTTACATTTATTGAGCACACAAATGCACAGTGAAGTTTCAAGGAAGCGGTCGTGACCATACATACAAAGGATGTCTGGGGGATTACATAACTGGAAAAGATGGACGACAGTGGCAGGACTGGAACTCACGATTCCCAGGACAAAGCAATGACCGGAGACATAAGATAGTTTACAAACAAATGAGAGAATTAGGAAGCAAGAAGAACAAGGAGTAGATTTAGGGAGGGAGGGAGGGAGAGAGGCACTCACAGATACATATCACGAACTGCATGGATCCCAGTTTACCCGTCTAGTTTTGTGAATTAATTCACGGTCTATTCGTGAAATAATGCCTAATAATGTCGGTGTTTTACTCTTTTTTTATTCAATGATGACAATTTCTTTTTTGGGGGCATGAATAAGCGCACAATCAAACACTGAGAGAATACAGGAAAGCGGGGAAAGTTGAGCGATAGTGGTGATTTGGAAATATGCTAACTCTGGATCAAAGTTATTCAATTATACACCACTGCGTAACAGAAACCAGAAGGGGTAAACTCCACACTTACCAAAACCTACTGTTTATTCATCGTAACCGGTAACCTAATCTGGAAACTTGGAACCATGAACCATATAATACCCCATTGGGTAGACGTGTTATTGAGCTGGACGATAACAAAGCTGTCTATCACCAAAATTGGACTGTTGGTGGAGTTCAAATCTAGGTTCTTAGGATTCGGCGTGCGTCAGTGATGGTAACTTAAACCGGTTGATAAATGCCACTGTAATACCTGACCAGAGGAGCCCACCTATCTTTGTTTACCGTGTACGAACAGAACACAGAATCGACCCCGATTATATGATGCATTTTGTCATTTTCAGAAGAAAAAAAACAAACAGAAAACAGCAATTAAGAATGTGGAAAAATCCTGTGCAGTTATTTTCACATTGTTGGGACACACCAGTAATGTGAATCTAATAACTTAACTGAGGACCGAACCCGGGATATTACTGGTAGAAAGCAAGTATGCTATATGTTTAACTGGTGGAAACTTGCGCAGACTGTTGCACCACGTCTGTACACGATGTGGTATAACTCATCGCAAATCTTGGCAGGAGCCCTACTTGCTTGCAACAATAAGGGTGCAACTACATTCATTCTAAGAACAGAACCTCGGTCGGTTAAATGCTGTCAGGAGAAAGGGATGAGGAATTTGAGCGCCGATGGTGATAGTTGTGGTGGATTTCAAACATTCCTGCTACCAAAGCGATCTGCAGCAGTTAGTTACAGTAACTAACTGTACAAAATACAGGTAAACATCATGATCATGATGATACCAGTGAGAAACCACGTAGCTCAGTCAATATGAAAAAATCCTTCATTCGCTAGATTATCGCCACAAATTCACAATATTAGTAGACACATTGGTCAGTAAAACTGGTTTCACATACCGTGCACGGTATGTTTCCACATTGTTTATCACGTTCCATACATGGCTAGAAATATGATCCGATAAAAAATTAAAACCAGGAAGAACAGCGTATGAGTTGAAGAACCTTATTTTCAAGCACACAAAAAAATATTATGTGAATTTATATGCATTATTTCACGGTGAATTTTCACGATGCGTCAGAATATGGGAAGCTGAAATGTTGCCAAAATTGGACTGCAAAGAATATATGGTGGAATGTAAGATATCACGATTNAAAGCTTACTTTTTATCACCTAGAGTAATGATTGCATAAAATAACAGGAGTACCGTCTGTGTGGAAAATTGGCACAAAACACAGGAGCTTTTATTCACAGCTGCAGATAGCCATTTGCACAAGTTAGTCTCGGATATGGATGCCCTGACCGTTGTTTGGAATCCGGGCAATCGAGAACACGTTTTGTGTCCACTTAAATATATACTATCACGGCAAGCCTTGGTTGGCCAAGGAGGCACGTAGTTTTCTTAAAAATCCTAGTCTGATGAGTAGTACAAAGGGTGTGTCCCATGTACAGAATGCATTTCTGGTGTTAACGTTATTCTGTTTGTCAATAAATGAGAAAAGGGAGTTAACCTCTCTCTTTCTCCTCTGTGTATATAATGTCCCAAAGAAAAAAGACAGATGAAGTGAATGAATGCAAGACGGTAAACGTACGTATCGATTCAAAACGGTTAAGTGGACCCAAGTCTGAAGCATTATTGGGCAAGGAAGGACGGAGGAGCAGTGTTCAGATTTGATCTGAATACACGCAACCGATCAGGATGTTACCAGTAAGGCCCGAAAAACGTTATTACCTCTCTAAAATTGTTTGATCACATAATATTTGAATTGCAGACATGCTAAATACATTAAATAAATAATCATGCCGGTTAGTGTTCGCCTTTCTATGGTTTGTACATTTCTGGCACGCAGTACTATCAAAGGCAATCACGGTCCGGTAGGAATTTTTCCAGGTGTCCAACGTACACTGTTCGGTGAATTTATTTCGTTGTTGTTTTCTATACCTTTTGTAATTCCAGTTGTCCGAGTATCAAAACAAGATACTCGGGTATCATTTCAAGCTGTCTCGGTGACCTCACCCGAACTGCCAGACCCATGTACGGTTAAAGCCTCCTAGTGAAGTCTGACTGAACACCATGTGAAACAGATTTCTTAACCTCTACTGTAGCTCGATGGGAAACAGTTTTACGACCTACCTCGACCACGCATACCTCGAATCCCAAGGCAAATCTTGGTCGTTTACTTTGCCTGTATGCGTTTGTGTCTGTGTGTCCACTTCCCCTGCAAAATCGTATCGGACCGCTTTTCGTTGACACCAACCAAGCAGCATGATCAACGCATACTTTTGCCCATCGCATGATGTTACAATGAGCGTCACGAGCTATATCTCAAGCGGCTGCAATAAGAGAACAAATGATCATGCTTCACTACTACCCATCATTGTTGGCCAGATTCACTTGCTTGCAGGTTATGTTTTATCTCTGTGCTAACACCACACAGGCATCAAACGAATTTCCATCCTTGAAGTACAGAACAATCAAAATAACCATTTTGAACACAGACTCGGAATGGAATAAGATATCTCCATCACACCAAATGCAATTGAAACAGTGTAATAACCACAAAATGTTTGATAGTTATGCAAATTTATAAGAAATTTTAGGTTGAAAAATTGGTAGGTTTTTCAAAGATGCAGTTCTCGGAGCATGGATCCGGAATTTGATAATCTTTATCGCCGAAATCATACACGGTCATAATAAAACACTCGTCCGCTACACAACGTACGCAGGGGGGGATAACGGTTCAGTTATGACAAGCGTTGATGGATAGTGTGAACTGGCTTCGAACAATTTTAGGGTCATAAAAAGCTAAATTATGGATGCATTCAATTTTCTCGATAGGCAGTACATCACCATGGTCTCAAGCAATGCAAAGATTGCTTCTGAGCGCTGTTTCGGGGACAGCTGTCGCCCGTCATATCCATGGGGTCGATCAATCCCTTGGAGAGGGGGAGGGGTGAACAGATAAAGAGTAATTTACATATTTATCATTTACATCTGATGAGTGATTCATTTGTCAAAACCTACCTGCCGTTCTGAGAACACGGACAAGTCTACCGGGAATCGTTCACTGAAGCGTTTGTGAAAAGCCGTAGACAAGTCACTGAGCCTCCGGGTGAATTCCTTATGTACAAATGCTCCACCTTTTCGGCCAAACTGAGTGAATTCCACTTCGATCACAGTTTGACCAGCATCAATTTTACTGCTCATGATTGGGGGATTGACAGTCACCTCATGGAACCATATGTTGGGCAAACGATTCATGTCGTAGGTTTTTGGTCGACCGGTGAGCACCAGCATGTTTGAGTCTCGTCTTAGCCCCGTGCCCGACNGTGCTCCTCCCCAGGGACCAGGGCAATGAGAGAGCTGACTTGCAGATTATTTTTTGCTGGATGGAAGAATATCTGATGCTCACCCAATGCTGATGTGAATCCTGTGTACCAGAGAAAAAGGAGTGAGAAATGGCACCAGGCGGCAGGCAATTCGTGAGCATGTATAGGTCATAAAAACAAGCGTTTACACAAGATTAATTGCAACCGGATAATACGTGTATATACGTATATTCGTCACCGGTTTGCAAGCAAGCTTGGCGCCAACAATTGAAGATTTCTGGAGAAAAAACTCACATCATACGTTTGACACCATATTTTAACATTCATTCTTAGATCTTGCACATGCCTGATCGACCCCCTAGTTGTACTTTCTCGAGCATGTTGGATCACGCTTTCCCAGACTATTCTTTGCCTACGCTATTTTCATGCATATCCAAATCGCCATGCCACCGGCATTTTCATCAAATGTTTGCCATGAATACCTCTCAGTCATCAGGCCACTTGATCTTCATTAACTGTTTGTCTACCCCATGCCATGCGCGTGTCCAAATCTTCTTATCACCCGAATGTTTATTTTCTTGTCCAACCCAAGCTATGCACGTTTTCCACTCCTCACGTCGTCCGGATTTTCGATGACTATCTACTCCTATCTATGCCTTACGATATCTTGGTATTGTACTGTTCTATATTTTCTTTACCATCCAATTGGATCGTGTAATAACCATACGTAATGCTAGCCCACACGTTCTCTTTTGACTGAACCAACCTCGATATTGACCAATACCCACCCTTCAACAACGAGTTGTTATGATTGGTGATCCCTGCGTCTTGGATACCACTATCCTCGTACACTGATTATACTCCCTTTAGTGCCCGCCTCGTGGACGTTATTGCTCAATGTTGTGCGGCTTACGTGTATACTTGGAAACGGATTGCTTCAAAACTTCACTTGCGTTATTCTGCTTGCATATTATTCGTNTCGTTCCCTTAGTACACACGGATGACAGACTGCGTTATCTGGGATTGAAATTGAGGTTTGTATGTACGCGTCACTCGACCCCTGGATAACGAGTTCGGTGCACCAATCAATACCATTAGGCGACAATAAATGTGATGCACCAGGAAAATTGTGAGCACAAGCATAATTGAGTGCATTTGACCATTGCGTATCCAAATCTGAGACAGACCAATAGACTTCACGCGAAACACACCATGTGCATGGTGTGTGTATGTGTTTGATCCTGAGTGGCTGTGTATGCGTACCACAGGTGGACAGAGAAAGAGTTCACAAGGTAGTAACCGTAGGAAACTGATATTTTCGGATCGATGTGATGTGATGTGAGCGGAGTAGCGGAATCTCTCGGACTAGCACGAATTCACAAGGTGATATATAAGCGGGCTATTGGAATCAAACATCGTTCTTGCGCGCGCAATGAAAACAGGCATCATAAAAGGGATTTTTCGAGCAACGAGAATCGGAAGTCAAAAATCTCACCAGATGGCGTATTATGTCTTTTGGGATAAAGGAAATGATTGGGGATGCTGTGAGCTTCAGAACTTAACGGCAGTAAAAATGACTGAACCAAAAGGAAGGCACCAACAGTCACGTAGCATGTTAATCATTCCAGTTAATTTAATGTACTGTTTGTTTGAATTTCGCCGTGTGAACTAATCAAACAAAGA